TCTCCAGCATATTATGTAAGGGATAATGTAGAATCCTCCAGTCATAACCACACAAAATAAACCCGAAGGGGTAATCAGGTCGCCTACGCCAAGCAGAGTCATTTATTACGCGGCTCATCAAATACATTATTAAACGGACAAGGAATATTTAAGTTTAACTTTTATTTTTTTTACATTTTAATGTTAATTTATTTTGTGAGAAGAAAGCGATGACGACTTAATACAGTTAAGACCAGTGTTGGGGGTAACGCATTACAAGTAACGCGAGTTACGTAATCAGATTACTTTTTTCAAGTAACTAGTAAAGTAACGCATTACTTTTTTAATTTACGACACATGAAACCATAGAAATCACTTGCCTGGGTTAGTCAGTATTAGCCTATGATGTTCTAGTGTTTATTAATTGGCAGCGACTATTTGCACTAAGGTTTAAATAGCGATATATGCTATTTAAACTAAGTATTTAGTATTTTCTGCTATTTACACTACTTATTGCAAATAGTGGCAAATATCTGCACCTCAGAATTGTAGTACATTAAACAGAATGCAATAATAACGTATGGAGTGTAAATTATAATTTTGATTAGTATTATTAATGGATGCTGCCTTATTGGGACAATAAAACCCTCCATACAACCACCCAAACACTACTTGATACTTTTGAAACTTTTTTATCGCGTTGTGAGAAATGCGTTAAAGGGATAGTTCACCCAAAAATGACAATTCTGTCATTAATTACTCACTCTCATGTCGTTCCAAACCCGTAAGACCTTCGTTCATCTTCGGAACACAAATTAAGATATCTTTGATGGAATCTGAGAGCTCTCTGACCCTCCCATAGACAGCAAGGGTACTACCACGATCAACGCACAGAAACATAGCAAAGAGATCGGTAAAATAATCCATGCGACATCAGGGGTCCAACCGTAATTTTACAAAGCTACGAGAATACTTTTTGTGCGCAAAAGAAAAAAAATAACGACTTTACTCAACAATTCGTCTCCTCCCTAGCGCCATTTTGGAGAGTATCCACTGAACGTAAACAGCGTATGTTGGTCTGTGTCAGCTGCGCCACGCGGATACGTTGTTTTACATTCAAATCAAAGCACAGACAATGTAGAAAACGTATCCGCGTGGCGCAGCTGACACAGAACAGCATATGCTGTTTACATTCAGTGGATACTCTCCAAAATGGCGCTAGGGTGACGCGGAGGAGACGAATTGTTGAGTAAAGTCGTTATTTTTTTTCTTTTGCACACAAAAAGTATTCTCGTAGCTTTGTAATATTAGGGTTGAACCCCTGATGTCACATGGACTGTTTTACCGATCTCCATGCTATGTTTCTGCACCTTGATCGTGGTAGTAACCTTGCTGTCTATGGGAGGGTCAGAGAGCTCTCAGATTTCATCAAAAATATCTTAATTTGTGTTCCGAAGATGAACGAGTCTTACGGGTTTGAAACGACATGAGAGTGAGTAATTAATGACAGAATTTTCGTTTTTGGGTGAACTAACCCTTTAAGCGCTTCATCATCTGTGCTACTGAAGCCGTCGATTGCTGGCAGACTGCAGACTATAATGTGGTCCAGTCCAATCACACGTTGGTGGGCGGAGTTAGTGCAAATAGCCTCTGCCAACAAATAGACACTCCATTATTAAAAATATTTGTCCACAGCTGACCAATAGGAGTCAGTCCAGTGAGCCATGTAACATATTTATATAATGCTCCATCTTATACATTGCCTCTGTAGAGTTTGTAGAGTTAGTTATGAGGTCTTGTAAAGCGTCGTGATGTGTGTGGGTTGGTGGGTGGGTAGAAAGGGGCTGGGGACACATAAACACATCACACAAAAACATCCACACATACATTCTCATGTGTTAAGGGAATATAATGTGCTTCAGGACACTGATCTTCTGTTCCAGTGTGGAAATGCATGGGGAAAACAGCAGAAAACACAAGACATCGTGAACTGCTTTCAACGAACAGCTCACATCAAAATAAAAATCCATCCATGGTGCTCTAAATCTAAAGTATCCAAATCCCATTGAACTGCACCGAAAAAATAAATGCTATTGTTTGACTTCAGAAGAATAGAAAGAATAATATAAGCAGTGTGATCTACTTTGATGATACTTCGATGGTGCTTAGGTGCCCTTTTTGAGGCTTTAAAGTCCCAGTTGTCAGTCATTTTAACTGCATAATATTATTAATCAAAATTTCTTCTTTTGTGTTCCTTGGAGCAAAGTCATACTGGTTTGGATAAAACTCTTAGCAGCAGTCACATGAATTATGATGTATTGTTTACACTGGGCTGTTAATGAAATCAGGAGGCAGACAATGAACACTGAACAGGAGTTTATCTTTTACTAAAGCCCTATTCGCACGGGATTAGTATTATCTGGAGACCTTGTGTGATTTTTAAATTAACCCCCCACCTCTGAATTTCGTGTGTGGTGCATTCGCACGGGATAAGCGAAGAACTGTGATTTTACTCGAATTTACCGACTTATCTACCGGATACCCGGATGTCAAGGCTTTGAGAGTCCCGTTCTATGGTCCAGATGGATTTTAAAAAAAGAAAAGAAATTAATATAGCTTCGTGCCCTGTGACATTTACATTTCACCAGGTTAAAATAGTATCTCAAGCTTTATGCTTGATTTATTTGTAACATATTAACCTCAAAACTTTTTCAGCCTTTTCTATCTACAAATTGTATGGTGTAGCGATATAACAGCACCCAAAATACTACGTCACCAGGTAATACTAATCCCGTGCGAATAGGGCTAAAGAAACATGCAGCCTGACCAAAAATGTCAGGACTAGAACTGATGCTACCAGAATAACATTGTGACTCGCTTTATATCCAAGAGCTTTGTAAACAGTCTTGCAAATATTGCATACCTATGTTCATATTACATATGAATCAAAGACCTACTCCTCTGTCTTTCCTTTGGATTTTTGGCTTGCACTGAGCTGCCTCAATTGCCTGTAGTGCACGTACATTGTTATGCATGTACTGTTGTATGAATTTTAGTGGGAGTGAGTTTAGTAGTGAAATAAACAAAATCTGGAGTGTTTTTAAATTGCACAACAGTGAAAAAACTACAAGCTTCAGAAACTGTGTGCCCACTTCAGTAAAGACAAGTATTTCTTCCCTTTACCTTTCGTTTTTTATGCAAAATACATACGCTGTAGTAAAATTATAGGCTACTTAAATGATTCTGAGAAAACTTTCCACAATTTTGGTGCTTTGTGGATTGCAATAGATTTCAATAGATGCATTTAAAGCTTTAAATGTATTTTTATTGATCTAATAGTTTTATGGTCATAAAGTTATTTGGCTTAGAAGGTTATTATTTCATATTTCATTTATATATTAAATGTCCTTTTTCAAATGAAGCAGTAATTCCTATCATCTGACTTTCCTCTGGCAGTGCATTGTTGCTAAGCAACTAAATGGAAATGTACAGTAGAAATAGGACAGTTTGAGATTATAACACAGACAGGAAAAACGCACATACTGCGGGTGATGAATATGCCAGTTAAAACCGAAGAAAAACTATTTACTCACTGCATCATTACCAAGCACGCTCAATGTTTCGCTCCTTTTAAAACTCTTTTAAAACTCTTCATATTTCATACATGAGAATGAGAATGAGAAGGATGCTTCAGGAAATGATGTCACCACTTCACAAAAATCTCCAAATGTGAACAATCGCGTTTATAAAGACCTCGCCTCTCCTCTGTAACCCATGTGTCATCGCGGTTAGTTGTCATGCCAACAAGTAATGAAATGCGAACGGCTTTGACCACTGCAGTTTTGTCCTGTGTTTTATATAATAGCACTCATGAGACTGATAAGTATCTTATCAGTGCTGGAGATTCATGAGTGGCATAATGGTACTCAGAATAAATGAATGAATTAATTAGCAGTCCTCATTCTTCCGCGATGAGATGATTTGTGACAGCAGTGAATTGGTTATGGCTCTGCAGTTATTAAACAGTCCCTGACTGTTTAACCGCTGGTTAGTGAGGTCTATACAGGTGATGTGCTGCAGGGTTGCCAGGTTTTCACAACAAAACCTGCCCAATTGCTACTCAAAACTAGTCCAATCACATCGTGCTCCAAGGGGGTAAAATAGCTACAAGTTTTTTGGCGGGGTTCCCCCTGGTTTAATTTTTCGTATTCCAGGTGCTAAATATCATGTTATTGGGGTCGCTTTAACCCAGGGGTGGCAAACTCAGTTCCTGGAGGGCCGGAGCCCTGCAAAGTTTAGCTTCTACCCTAATTAAACACACCTGATCCAGCTAATCACGTCCTTCAGGCTAATTTGAAACTACATGGTTTGTGTGTTGGAGCAGGGTTGGAACTG